GACTACATCTGTTGTGTTCCTTGTTGCCCCTTCACACATGGTATGGCACCCAAATGAATGCATTTTTGTTGAATGGCAGATGGCATCAAGTACCCAGCACATGCCAAACAAGCTGCCATAGGAGTGTATGTGTAGCTCATTAGACCTTCACAACAACCCCCAAAAGTACTTACAATTCACACTTTACAGATCCAGAAGCCAGTTAGGAAATGAACTTGTCTTATGCCGTAAAGTCAGTAAGTGGTAGAGGTGGGAGTGACACTCGGTCTCACTTATCCTGCTATGCCAACTGCTCTCCAAACCCCCTCACTGCCTATAATATGGCCAAGCTTTCAGCAGACACCACCAGCCTCACCACTGGCATAAATGGCATGTCAGCATAATAGGCTCCTTTCATATCTTTATTTTTGCCTTTGTTCAAACTTTCAAGACATCAGATTAAAGAAGACCCCACTGAGGTGCTCACATGACCCTGGAATAATATTTGTGTGGTTGTGGATTATTATTGTATTTTTCACTTGTGTGTGGTCTTTTGGGGAAATTGGATACAATCTGTCTTGCAGGCTGCACACCGCACTGTTAAGCCAGCCAACGTGAGGACCACAAGGTGGGGATGGGAAAGGTTGGGAGAGGTTGGCATGGGGCAAGATCAACGGAAAACTCGCCTACTAAAGTGATCATGGCAGTGATCTCCTAACCACCTACTAGAATTAACAGTGTAGACGGACAGGTGTGATCAAAGCCCACCAAAGCAAGGCCAGTTAGCCATGGATCCCACCAGCACAGCTTGTAGTCCAATTCAGAAAGTGCATCTACAGTTAAAATCTCCACCACCAACAACAAAATAGCCAGATGTGGACCATGACATTGGTCATTGGTCATGCCATCAAAGGTTCATAATGGTAGGTACTGATATTATCCCTATTTCAGAGAAAGGAAAACAGAGGGACAGAATGGCTCAGTAACTTCCAAAAGGTCAGAGCTGTCAAATAGGATGGGTGTCACCTCCATCTTTCTACACTGCCTTGAGGCAAGCATTCCCATGGCTGGAAGACTCCAGGTTACCATGTCCCTTCTAAATTTGCAGACTTTATTTCCCCTTCTCCAATTTCTAATATTTAAACTGATTTTCTTTATTTTTATTTTTTTTTAAAGATTTTATTATTTATTTGACAGAGACACAGTGAGAGAGGGAACACTAGCAGGGGGAGTAGGAGAGGGAGAAGCAGGCTTCCCGCTGAGTAGGGAGCCCAATGTGGGGCTTGATCCCAGGACTCTGGGATCGTGACCGTAGCCCAAGGCAGACACTTAACAGACTGAGCCACTCAGGTGCCCCTAAACTGATTTTCTTTAATATGTTTACATTTCATACAGCCTTTTATGGGAAAAGAGAAGGAAGGCATCTGTTTCTAAACAAAATGATCCAGTGATGGATGAGCAGTTAAGTAAGAGGGCAATGCCACACCCAATGCAGTCTGTGCTCAGTGCTGGTGAGTTTCCTTCTTTCCCATCAACCCAGCTACTGCTGCAGACCCCAGCGTTGTCTTGAGAAATCACAGTCCAATGCAAAGATTGCCACTGACCTTTGTTTAGCCCAGCAGTTCCCAAATACACTTAACCATGGGAGCCTATCTTGAGAAACACCTATTCCACCTGCCAAACGAATGTGGGGAAATGCTTACCTGACCTCTGAGGGATCTGCTGGCTCTAAAAGACGGGTGTGTGGGGGATAGAGCCAGGGGAGCTGAACCAGGGAGGAAGCCCCACAGCAGCATGACCCTTGCTATTCCAGCTTTTCCCCCAGGTCACCCCTCGCAGCCTGGCTTCGAGCCAGGTCCCTGGCCTTGGCCTTCAGGGACTTGCCCAACCCCCCACCCCAGGCTCCCAATCAAGAGGGCTCTTGGAGAAGAACATCTGCTGTCCCTTGAGTTTCCAGAGATTTCCCATTCTGCTTCTCTATGTTTATAATCTGAGAAATGATCGCAGAAAGGACAGGCTGAGCAAGGAGGCTGTGACACAGATGACCTATGGAGCCAAAGGGGATGGCAGGGGGGACTCCCCCTAGGATCTGACCCACACCACTCACCGCCAGGCTCTGGAAATGACAAACTCACACCCTTATTTGCCCTTGGAGCTTGACAATTTACAAAGTGGTCCATGTGCATTACATTCCTGCATCTCCCCTAACTCTTAGGTATCATCGCCATCTTCCCCATGATATCAAGTGGAAGAGGAGGTCTTGCAAAGGGGAAGGGCAATGTCCAAAATCACAGCAGGGCGTAAGTGATGACCAGGATCTTTGTCTGGGACACATGACCTATTGGGAGCTCTCCCCTGGCATCCCCTGCCACCTTCCCCATCCATTTGGGGGTGCCACGGTATGGCCGAGAGTCCAAGAAGGATAACTTGGCTGTCCTGGAGATACAGAGGGGTTGGGGGGAAGTTTGATACTGACACAGCAAAGGACGGTTTAGATGGGGGTCTCAGGCTGCAACAGAGTTGGAAATGGAAGACTCAGATGGGAGAGAGAGGAGCCCTCCCCAGCCACAGCACCCCCCACCTCCCGCAATCTGCTCCCTAGAGCACGTTTCCCTGGGCTGGAGAGCTGCAGCCTGGGGATCGGAGGGCAGCAGGTGTGGAGGCTTCAGCAGAAGGCACAGTCACTGTGCCCATCCCTGGACACCTCAGCCACCACCAGGGGTCCATGAGGGCTCCCTCAAGGCTTGCAGAACAAGGACGTGTGTGTCAGCCCTTGTGACACTGGTTTTGCTCCAGAATCTATCACGGAGTGATTCCCTTGGTCCTGAAACAAACGATGTTCTCTGAATGCTGCACACTTTCCTCCAAGGTCTGGAGAAACAGGACTCCCAGGGCCTCAGCGTGGGCAGTCACACCAGTTCACTGCCCAAGCAGATGGCCTGGCTCTGGACTCTGAAGACAGGGTCCCCACGTTCCTTAGTCTTCCTGATGTCAGTGGCAGTATGTGTGTGCATGTGAATGGGAGTCTACCCAAAAAAGAAGGGACAGACCAGATGGACTGTCAGCCCTGCCGCCCTCAGTGTGGCTTCTTGCTTAGTGTCCAGATACCCCAGTGGAGCTAGCTAGCTATTTAGCTCTTTCCAGCCCTTCTCCAGGACAGGTCCCTGGTGCTGCAGACTTGGGTTGGGCCCTGGCTCCAGCCAGGAGCCACTGGCTGGGCAAGACCTCCTCCAAGAGTGGGTGCTGCTCCTCAGAGTTCCCCACTTCCCCCCGACTTCTTGTTTTTGTGAGAGCTAGGGAGGACTGCCGCCAGTGTTCTGAGGGACAGAGGGAGCTGGCCTGAGGCTTCTTTCTCTTGGGGACATTTCCAGCTGGGACTGTCCTGGACTGGGGTGGGCAGGAGGCTTCATCTGGGAGGCAAGTTCCCAGAGTGTGGGGGACTCTATTGGCAGTACAGTTGGATTCAGGACTAGGTTCCTGAGCTCTGAATGTCAGGATCAAGTTCACTGGCCTGAACCTTTGGCTGGCCTTTGAATTAAACTGCATTTTTGCATAAGTGACTAGGGGCATGCAGATTGCAAAGGGCCAGCCAATCTGGAAAAGTTAAGGAGGCAAAGCTGTTCCATGAAGGTCAGAGCTTGGCTGTCCTCGGCAGACCACGTGGGGTAAGGCAGCAGAGGGCATCCACTGGAGAGTGCTCTGCAGATGTTCATGAACATGGTGGCACTGAGGGTCCATTGGTGCACCTAGAGGAGCTGTGGGGTCCAGAGCTGAGAACCCATAGGGTCAGAGGTGGGGCCAGAGAGAGGTGGGGCATGGAGAACAGCTGTCTTCTTACCCTAGGTCATACAAGCTCATGCCCTCTGGAGTCAGGAACCTCTGGACTGAGTCTTCTCAGCAGCATCTCTGCTTGAATATTCATAGTGACAGCAAACTCACTACCTCTTGAGACATTCTTTCCATCATGGATGGCTCCTGCTGTTTGAAATGTCTGCCACATGTTGAATCAATAACTCTCCCTGTAGCTCCCTCCATCTTTTTGGGATGACCATCTTCCCCCTGACATCCCTTCAAATGTTGGGTTTCATGCATCCCAAGTCTTCCTCAGATTAAATGTTCCAAGTGTCCCCCACATGATGCAACCTTCAGCCCCTCCTCTCCTAGACCTTCCCCCCTGCTGAGCTCCAGTTCCCCCTGAAATATGCTCGGAGACACAACCATGGCACTCGTAGTCTGACCATCGATGGTGTGAGACTCTGCCTTGACCCACATAATCTAAACTCAAAAGGGCTTCTCAGGTAGTGCCTAGAGGATTCTACTGCTGTAGAGGTCAGTGCTGTCTGACTGGGCTCTGGGGGATTCTGGGGCTCCTTGGAGACCGTCTGGGGCCACAGGGGACATGAAGAGGGTGGGGTCAGTGGGTGGGGTGTGCTTGGCTCTGGTCCTGCCACTCCTACCGAACTAGAACAAAACTATTTGAGCATGTTTTAAAATGGGGCTGCTACATAAACTTGGGTTTGAAGCAAGAGCACCACAGCTTAAAAATGTCCAAAACTGCTGGCATTGCCTAACGTGATTTAGTCTTCTGTCACATGCCATCCCTAGTCCATCTCCCCCCGCCCATGGATGTGCAAACACCTCAACTCAGGCCAGCACCAAAGAAAAGGGGCCATTACCCCCAGACTGGGAGACCCAGGGCACTCCATCCTTCTGCTCCCATGGACATTTGAGCCCCTGGCTCTGCTCTGTTTGTAGGAACATAGTGGTCATGAGCAGGTGCAGCGGGCTTGCACATAGGTGTGGGGAATCCCTGTACCATTCACATGCTCTCAGTGTGGGCTGGGTGAGCATCACATGATAGGGACTCAGGGATCGGGACAGGCAATGCTCACGTGGTGTGCAGGTACTGAGTGTGCAGGAGGCAGGCACCAAGTGGCCCCCAACTGGAGGGCGGGGCCTGTCCCAGCCAACAATAAGGTCATTTCCCCAGCCTCCTGGTTGGGGGTGTGGGGGACACTCACAGGGCAGCGTCTCAGCGCTGTTCTTCTGGATCATTATGCAGAGCTGTAGCACCAGTTGGGGGGCGCTCTCCAGGAAGGTCTCAAGGAGGCGCAACATGTTGACGTCTGCATATTCATACATCATAGCCCAGTAGAAGCGTCGCTGGTGTTCCTTCTGCCGCTGGCTCTGAATTCCCAGGTACATGGTGCGGATATACCTGCCAAGAGAACAAGACAGAGCACAGAGGGCGTGGGTAGGGGCAGGGAATGTGGGAGGGTCACCCCATCCCCCAAAACCAAGACTGCCTGTGCCCATATCCCCTCCTTCTCTCTGACGTCTTCCAGATGCTTGGACCAGGGTTTTTTTCACAGCCCCCAGACAGGGTGCTAAGTCTTTGGAGTGGAGGAGTTGGGGGTGGAGGGGATGGGCACGCCAGGGAAGGGGTGTCTTAGACAAGTGCTCCCCTTCCTGGCCTCGGTTTACTGATCTAAAAAAAATGAGCAGTGAAAGAGTGGGACCAGATGATCTCCCAGGGCCTGCCAGGGATGCATCACAGGTGAGCTCTGAGGACATGTGATCGTTCTCATATTCAGGACCCCAGTGGGAATGTTCCGTCAGGATTTCCCCTCTACCATGTAGCCCTGCCCCTCTCTGGGGGAGAAGGAAAGGGAAGGGGCATTTGTGAATCTCCTAATAAGTATCGCAGGTTATTGGCCATGTGTGGCCAAGGTCCTGGGTGACAGGCAGGTGTCCCTCCCATGTAGGACAGACAGGGAACCGCTGCACCATCCCAGCATGGGCTCCACAACTGGATGGTGGAACAACAAGGAGCTGGCCCATGGCTGCTGGACAGCAAGTTCAAGCTTTCCACTAGGGAGACACGGAACCAGCAACAGAGCCTCTGTCCGAGGGTGGCGTAGGACACAGTCATTCTGGTGTACTGACCCTGCTCTGTCAGAGAGGAACAAGCAGCAAAGAAAGTGGGATTAGGTGGAGGGCACGGGCTCAGGATTCAAATGCTGGCTCTGTTATTTGCCAATTGTAGGAACTTGGATGAATTACTCCAACTCTGTGTCCCTGCTACCCTTCTTCAACATGGAGAAGAGAGTCAGCATCACGGGCTCGGAGGCGAGATCAGAGAGATAACAGCCATGGTGGACACGCCTCCCAGGTGCCCATGGCTCACTTACATCTGAATTTTTCAGAAGCTGTCTCTAAGCCACAGTGAAGGGGAGGATGAAAGGTACCATCTAAGATAGCCAGCGGTCTCTGAGGCTGAGCCCGGGCCAGAAAGGTTAGTAGGGCCAGGAAGAAAGTGATGTTCAGGATCTAGTTAGGATCAGGAACATGAATCACATCCCAAGGGCCACAGCCAACAGGACAGAACCACATGTGTGACCTTGACTGTCCCCTGGGAATGTATAATGTGCCCTCTAAAACACTAAGCCTGAATTAGCAAGGTTGAGAGAGCAGGGTTGATATACTGTGTGGTCCCTGTGGTCCTCAGGCACAGCCAGCAGCCTAGCTGGGCTGCTAGGCACTCTCTCCTCTCTGTTGCCATCACCACCCCCAGCCTCATCCCCACTAGCACCCCTCTTGCCTCAATCACAGCAAGAGCCTCCTAATTGGCCTCTCAGTGTCCACTCTTGCCCCAGAACACAGCAGTTTTTTGAAAATCGTAAATGCAATCATGTCATTCCCCTGTTTCTTCCAACCCTCCCATGGCCTCCCATAATGCTTAGAATAAGATCCAAACTGCTCTCATGGCTCATGGAACCCTGTCTGCCTCTCTAACCCCATCTCCCACTCTCTCCCCGCTCCTTTCTTGTGTCTTCTCGGTCTCTTGAAGAGCCCATAAGCTTGTCTACTGTTCACACCATCTCCCCAGTGCCAATGGAATGTAGAAGGAAGACTCCTGTCTTTGGAGGCTGAGGGGTCCTTGTGGGACAGCACTGTCACAACACTGTGAAGGCATCCCGCACCCATTTCTGCAGGAAGTTCAGGAACAGCATCATCAAGCCAGTCACAGAGAGGGGCTCAGTATCTCCCCCCTCTGGCAGTAATGGGAGGAGCAGGGAGTCACTTAAGACCTTATATTGATGTTACAGATTACGCTTTAGAAGCAAAGATTCAAAAAGCATGCATTTATAAAAATAGCTTAAAACAGTAAGGAGATATCGGGAGGGAGACAAACCGTAACAGACTCTTAGTCTCACAAAACAAACTGAGGGCTGCTGGGGGGTGGGGTGGGAGGGATAGGGTGGCTGGGTGATGAGCATTGGGGAGGGTATGTGCTATGGTGAATGCTATGAAGTATGTAAGCCTAATGATTCACAGACCTGTACCCCTGGGGCTAATAATACATTATATGTTAATAAAAATAATTAAAAAAAACCCAAAACAGTAAAGAGATGCTCCTCTCCAATTTCAAATGGCAGGCCTCTCTCCAGAGTGCTAATCATGTACCAGACCCACCGATGAACAAATGCTCCAGGGGACTCCGGGCCCGTGCAGTGGGACACAGAGCAGCCCTACTGAACCACTGGTGTGACTTATGACAAACACCTTGGCAACGAGGAGCACGATCCCAAACCAGATGAGTAATACTGTGTCTATCTCTCTGGATCCCTAAGAGCCTTTGCGCTACAGTATCTCTGAAGACACCCACCCAGCTTCCCTGGGGTAGACACCATATTTCCCTCCTGACATTTGCCCTGCAATGAGCAGAGCAACAAACCTGCTGGAAACTAAAGCAGGCAAAGCTGGGGATGAGGGCCAAGGGCAGGGCAGCTCCATGGGGGGGGCTGGTGTGGGGGCAGCAGGTGCATCTGGTTAGCCTGCTGCTGGAGTCCTGCAAGGTCTTGGGGGGCACATCTGGTCATTGCCATTTAACTCACTGGTAAACTGAGGCTCTGGAGTGAAACAGAGCACTGAATTGTGGTTCTGTTTCAGGTTCTGTGACTTATGGGCTGTCTGTGTCCCACGAGTCATCTTCTGCAAATCAAGGGACCGAGGGAGGCTGGGAAAAGGGCAGGGATGTTGTCAGAAACCTACAAGGTCACTGAGAGAAAGAGAGACAGAGAGTGAGACAGAAAGACACAGAGATACAGAGACAGAGTGAGACAGAGAGATACAGAGACAAGGAGACAGACTGAGACAGAGAGACAGAGATACAAAGAGACAGATACAGAGACAAAGAGACAGAGAGAGATACAGAGACAGAGAATGAGACAGAGAAACAGAGAAAAAGATACAGAGACAGGCAGGGAGAAACACCTACACATAGAGAAGAGACACAGAAAAAGAGACAGAGAGAGAGATGTGGGAGGGAACAGAAAGAGAGAGAAAGGAGAGGAAAGCAGTGTCACAATTTGGGGTCTGAGGGAGAGGATCAACTGGAAGAAATCATGGCAAAGATAAATTTGGGGAGGGGAGGGCTTGCTGTAAGGAGATAGGGTCACAGGTAGTCTGGGAGGGGTATGGGGGAGCATCCAGGGTGGAGAGAAGGGTCAATTTGGCCAGATCTGATGGTGGCCTGGGAAGGCAGAGCACTGGAGGACAAAGGTGCGCTGGCTGAGGTCGAAGCTTCGGGTCCAGAAGCTCCGCACGCACCCTGAACAGCCATGTGCCCAGTGGAGCCTTGGTGCCTTGGGTCTCACAGGTCAGATGCGGGCTCCATGACCCACAACTGAACTCTATTCACATGAGGCAGCTGCAACACACAATACTATGGGCCACAGACTCCCACAAGGACCAGATCACAAATTTATACTCCTTCAGGGGTACACTCAGACCACAGACTCTGCTTCTCCCAGCCTCACAAGGTGGCCCACGGTGGAGGAATGCTTTGTGGCAGAGCCAAACCTACTTGTCCAGGGCCCAAGCCAAGGTAACATCAGTATTCAGATTCACCTAAGTCTGCACTGCCAGGGCAAAGGGAACACTTAATCTGCCCTCTCCACCCCATTTTCCCCAAGTTGCCAGCCCCTGTGCCTGTCATGGCCATGGAAATGGAAGGCAATGAGCCCAGAACACACTGACTCAACTATAACGTCTGTCAGAGAAACCAACCTAGAATTTCTTCTGTGAGCGGATATCGCAAGATATGCGAAGAAACGAGGGTCGGAGTGAGCAAAGCCAGAGCCTCTACCGCCATGCCGATGAGCAAATAGATGCTGGCAGTCTAGAGTGCACCAGGATTAAGTCTAAAACCAAATTTGGAAATCATGCCTCCTGAGACCCCAGCTCAACCAGCCTCCTACCTTGTAGTGGGAGCGACATCACAGAATCCAGTTCAGGATTTCGCAATGAAGTGCCTTCTACCTAATTCCACACTCTCTGGCTCCTGCACTCTCCTCCTCTATCCCTGAGTCTTGAGCTCCCAGGAGGCCACTGAGGGTGCATGTAAAATCCTGAGTGAGTCTAGGTGACCTTTGAGGCAGCCCAGCCAGCTGTGTCCGCCTTAGCTCCTGTGCAAAGCGTGGCCACAAGGTGGCGCCAGACCCTAAGCGAAACGGGAAAGCCGCTCTGCGAGGTGATCTCATCCCCAGCAGGCAGCCTCCTAAGGCCTGCACCCTTCCATCAGCGACACTGGGGTGCAGGTGGCAGGGGAGGCCCAGGGCAGGGCCAGATGTGCTGAGTCCCCACAAGATAGGCTGCTGCTCCTCCAAAACCCTCATCTTTCCCCCTTCCCTGGCAGGTTCCGAAAGCCCACCATCCCCTGGACATTAGTTTAGGAGATAAGATGTTCCGCTCTCTTCCTGGATTTGCATCCACATCTTATGACACCTGTCACGACATCACCATTGGATGGTGAGATGCATGGGTCTAAAAGCAGGGAGGCTCATGTCATCGTAGAGCGAGGGCTCAGGAAGGCCGGCCTGGTCTGTAGTCTGTAGGGCCACATGGCCGTGGACCAGTCACTCCCCAGTCTGGGCCTTCTTGATTCACCATCACAGAGGGCAGACTGGAGGACCCGAACCTGCCAGCGTTTTTACAACTTCGTCCTTCCTCAAGTAAGTGGCTTCGTTGAGTCTGAAATCTGGCCCAGCCTCTTCACCAATAATACTAGCTGATGTCGGTATGGCATCCATGTGCCAAGCACTGTTCTGAGAATTTCGTACTTGGGAATCCATTCAATCCTCATAGTAGCCTCTTCAATATTACCCCCATTTTCCAGATGGCGAACGAATCTGTGCTTAACGAATATTCCTCAGT